TGCTTCGCACTTTCAAAATATCTTCGTCTAATTTATCCGATTGACATTACAACTATAAACCAACTATATTTATCTTCATCGTTGATTTTTGTTTATATTTTTTTGTCACCAGCTCTTCCGAGAATGCAGAAACTCGACGTTAAAAATGCATGTGCGTTTACTTCTGCCAATTAAAATAATTGTCAAGTTGCTCGTTTTGTCCGCCCCTCGTTATGAGCGCGCAATATCATTTTCTTACCTCACCTGTTTCAGGTTGCCATTTGTTTCGACGACGTTACGTAATTTAGAGCGTGCGTAGCAACCAATCACGAAAAGCATTATCATTACTCTTTTGTTATTAGTCACAATTTAAACAAATTACTAATTTGACTATTGCAAAAATAATATTTTTTTTATAAATTCAGAAGGTTTTAAGATATTGTCTGTTAAAAACAAGTTTAGGGAGCCGCACTGAACGGTATATCCTAAAAAGAGCCGCAGTTTGCCGACCCCTGACCGAAACTAAGAAAAACCTTACTGGAATCTCCACTGACATGTATAGATAGTTGTATGAGTAAACAAAGGTGCGGTTTTCTCACTTTTCTCCATCAAAAGACTTTTTACAAGATGCGTGGAAAAAAAGGCACTTTCTAATTTTAATTAATCAAATAAATTCTAATTATTTACCATAAAGCAATGCAATTTTTGTTGTTTTTGCTTCCTGTTCAAAGTCTTCCTTTATTTGGATTGACGAAGGTTCGAAGCGCCGCATTTGCATCGATCCGCAATTTCCATCGAGAAATTATTGATATTTATTAATATTACTATTATTATGCGCCCGATCAAATATTAATATTTACAGCTTAAATTACGTAACGCAAGATGTGATTTTACGAACAGTATTGCCAATTTTGAAACGCATTTTAATGTTATTATCACGAACAAAATCATATTTCCAATGCTAATTCGAAATATAAATTTTTATTAAAATTGAAGTTACTTGCTAGTTATTTGAATCAGAACATTAAAAACTAATGTAATTGTTTCAAACATTTTATCACCCGTTCGAATATTAACCCTTAGACTTAACTATTGCTACAACGAGAACTAAGTTGAGTTTGAGTTCTACCAACCATAAATAATTTGGCTACTGTTAAGTTATAAAAATTTCTCTTCGAGGTAAAAATGGAATTGGGCTACTGCACCAATAAAACTGTCCGCAGAGTCCAGAACTTTCTCCATTGTCGAATCTCCTCACTGAAATGTCACCAAAATATTCGTTTTGAATGCGACGCTCATTGTACAAACGGAAAACAGATGCACATTCGTAAATCAAATCTCGAACATTTTTATGCACCCAAATTTGGTAAATAATGGTAAAGACGTTCTTTATTACGCAAACAGAACTCAAACAGATGTTAAAATTTCTTAGTTCGAAACTATTTGAATCCAGTCTATTTGTTTTCTATTTTAAATTTATTGAATGTCGTATAAAAGTTTTATTATTTCAGTCATTTAGTTTAATGCAATATGCAGAATATCCAGAGTGAATTTGTTTCAAAATATGATTTTGAATTATGAAATTTAAAATTGCCGCTTAATTTTGAAACACCAATATTAAAAATAAATTTCGAGAAAATCCCCTAATCAACTTATTTCTGTTCCAGATCTTAAGTAGAAGTTGTCAATCCTGATGCAATTCAAACAATATTTTATATTTCATTACAACACTATAGTTACAAATGTCAGTGTCATTTCTGTCAAATTACTTAATAACCACCAATAATAATGGTATTGGTTGCATCAAGTTTGTACACCTGTCAAAGATGTTAGCAAGTGTTTAGTTATTGAATTGTACTTATTATAATATTCAAAGTAAATTGGTTTGTTTTCCTTTCATTTATGAATATTTTATATTGTAATATTTAAAATTGCCGCATAATTTTGAAAAATCAATTTCGTGAAAATTCTCTAATCAACCTACTTGAGTAAAATACTTATATTTGAGGTTATTTCAGATCTTAAAGAGAACTTGGCATTACCATTGAATACAATTCAATCAATAGTTTATTAAATTAAAACACTATAGTTACAACTGTCACTATCATTTGATAGATATATTTACTAATATATTTGAGTTCTGAATTTATATTTGACTATAGTACTTCTTCTTCTTTAAACCTCCACTCCCTATAACACTATAGTTACAAATATCATTGACGTTGCTGTCAAATTCTTCTTCTTCTTCATAACTACCAATAATAATGGTATTGGTTACATTAAGTTTGTACATCTGTCAAAGGTGTTTGCATAATTTAACAAGTGTTTAGTTCTTTTTTTTTTGTGTAATCTTCTTTATGTTAGCAAGTTTTTCCTAAATTGGAATAGAACATGAAGCAATAGAAGAAAACTAATAATTATATACGTTGTAATGTTTCCGAGTAAGCTCAAACAGGGCAGTTGTAGACAAAATAAAAGAAGAGAGGAACGAAAGAGCAATCAGGATCTTTGAGATCTAAGGTTTCTCGATTGAAGAATGAAATGAAGAAAAAGTAGTGCAGTTTCATCGCTTTTGATATTTATTTCGCTTCAGTCCCGTCTATGGGGAATTAAATTAGCAGTTCTTGAATGAAGCATCTCGATGCAGGAGTTTCTAGGTAAGGAAAAGACCGTATGGAAAAGTATTAATTATCAGCGAAGTCGGCTGAACCATTTATCGATGATTACCATACAATTAATCGAATGGTCATCTGGTAGAACGAAAGACGGATGCAATTGCGCGCGTTGGAAACGGATGGAATATGAGTACATAAGGCGTACGAAGGGGGAGAAAATTTAATTAAATTTCATAAATCGCGCGGAGTACATTGTTTCAAACCACCGAATTTTACGTTTCCAGGAGTTATTTGTCATTTTTATTGCTACTACGTATTTCATGAATTACATAATTTGAAGACAGACTTAACTGTAAGATATAATTCATGTTTCCAAATAATTCATAGCATCAAAAATAACACTATTGATTGTTGAAGTGAAACTAAATAGTTGGTAGAGTTGATACATTGAATCTTTATATCATGAACAGTGTGGATGCAACATTATGTTGTGAATAGATTTTATTACTTCTGTTATCATTGGAATCATAAATTTGTAGTAAAAAAAATAGCAATTGCTTTGTTTGTTCTTTTATCCTTTCAGAACTGCGTAATGTATAATATACGTATGGATATAGAATATATTCGTTTTTCTGTATTTATTAATTTGGTTCGTAGCGAGTGTAGAGAAACTAAAGAGGAGGAGGACGTCGAGGTGCGCGTTCCGTTCCGTTCTGTTCCGTTCGGATACATCCTCTTGAATTTTCAAGAGAACATCTCGTCCGGAGGCGCGCGGCTCGCCCCGTCTCTGTCGTTCGCATTCCGCGCCGCATAGTTTCGTCGCGGCCCGGCACTTTTATTTGTTTTTCTGGAAAAGTTTGTATTCGAAAAACGAAGTAAAAACAGAAACTCCGCTCCGCTGCGAATGTTTACAAAAGGCAGTTTTCTTTAAGAAAAATAGGCGAGCTGGATGGATGCAAGCAAAATGCGAACAACAAAAACAATGCTCTGTATATGATGAGAACAGGCAACAGAAAGAACAACAACAACAACAACAAAAAAACGTTGCAAACGAACAACAATAACAAGAGTAACAACAACAACAACAAAATGGTGGGCGAATGCTAGATGAAATGGTGCATCCATCCATCCAGAATATTTAGATGGAAATTTACTCCATCGGATAGATGTGCGTGTGTTAACATTTTTGTTTTTCATGAAAACAACAATTTTTTCGGGTTTTCAGCGTGTGCATGTTCGGTCGACGTGTTCTGTATGCTGCTGCAGTATTTATACTTCATCCATGTGCATTTAAAAATTTATATATGTAGGAAAGGTCAATACAAAGTTTATCATGTCTTGTTTGTTGTGTGTATACAATTTAGTAGAAATTCTTAGAGGAGAACACAACAAACAGTACACACTTTTCAATTCATTTACATTCTATTTGACAAAATTTCATACCTATAATTTCAATAAGTAAAATATATGGTATAAACATATTTTACTTATTAATAAATGTTATATTATGTTGTAATACCCGATTTAATCTTAAACGTTGAGACACAAGCCAAATCTACATGAGAAGTATGTAGATTTGGCAATAACTGCTATTTTTTATTACATGTATTAGCAATGATTTCTATTTCATATATATATATATTTATAGTAATTAGACAATTATATAATTGTTTGCAATAAATGCTTTTATTTGAACGGAAATATCTATGGTCAATAGCTTTTAATAATTAGAATTTTCAATATGTATTGTATTTGCAAATATTACACTAGTTTGCTATGTATTTTATAGTCCTATATCATAGTTATATTAATTAACTTGTCTAAATTGAGAATAATGTTTTCTTTTACATTAACAAGAATCAAATACGTTTAATTCTACATGATTTGCTATTGTTTTAAGAAAAATACGAATATTATTGGATGATGATGGTAAATGACAGTTGTTGTTTCTGTTTTGTTCTTCTTATTTTGGTGTTGATGAATGGTTGATGCACGTGCAGGTGGGAGCGGTGTGAAAAATTGTACGATGTGCATGGACAAAAAAGAAGCATGTTGGAGGGGAAAACGTAAAGAATGGATATAGTAAGCAGTCGCGGTAAGCCAGTTCCCCCGAAAAAAGCGGGCGCAACCACCGCCCCCGATCACAACTGCGGCAGCTCCACCAGAGTGTGGTGCGCTGCTGGAATGGAAGAAGAAGTGACGGTGGAGGCGATGGAGGCGGTTTGTGGAGGTGGCGTCGACGTTGGTGGTGGGGCGGTCGGGTTCGGAAACTGGCCTCGTGAAACTTAAAAATGCCGCCGTGAGCGACCGAATCGATACGAGGTTGGGGAGTCACGTGGTGCGCATGGTAACCAATCCGAAGGGGGCGCAGGAAAGACGATCGTCCGCGCGCGGATCGCACCGAACGTCAGTCAGTTTGCAGCGAGCCGTGGTCAGTGCAGTGTCGTTGTTGTTGTTGTAGTAGTTGCTCGTCGTCGCCGCCGCCGCCTTCGTTCCGTCATCCTCCCCCGCATACGTCGACTACTCAGTCGCTGCTTCCGACAAAACAGTTGTTGTTTTCAACGTGATGTGAACGCCGCAATAGCAATTGTAGTTATAGTAGTGAACAGCAGTAGACGAGAATCGGAAAGGACGGGTATAATAATAAGACTACGCAAACACAGCATAGAGGAGTTAGTGAAGAAAGAAAGAGAAGGACGATTAGGAGAAGAGAAGTAGATTTAAGAGAGAAATATGATGGAGGATCCGACGCAGGTGTTGTTCACCGAGCTGCCGGTCCCGCTGCTGTCGACTGCCGCCCTCCTCAGACACCACCACCATCATCAGCAACAACAGCAGCACCAACACCATCATCACCATCACCACACGACGCGGTTCCAGCCGTACCATAGGCTGCACCAGCCGCAGCACTTCCACGCAACGCCTGTCCAAGAGTTACACTACCTTCAGCAGCGCGAGATCCCTGAGGAACAGGCGGAGGCCATCGACCCGGATCAGACGCACATTACCAGCCTTTACCCCGAGATATTGGCCATCATCTTCGGGTATCTGGAGGTGCGGGACAAGGGTCGCGCTGCTCAGGTGTGTTCCAGATGGAGAGACGCAGCCTACCACAAATGCGTATGGCGAGGGGTCGAAGCTAAGCTGCACCTGCGGAGAGCCAACCCCTCGCTGTTCGCCTCGCTCGTCAAACGCGGCATCAAGAGGGTGCAGGTGCTTTCGCTGCGGCGATCACTTCGAGACGTCATGCAAGGCATTCCCAACTTGGAGTCTTTGAATCTGAGCGGTTGCTACAACGTGGCCGACGTTGGAATCTCACATGCCTTCATCGCCGATTCACCATCCCTCACCGAGCTGAACCTATCGTTATGCAAGCAGGTGACTGATAACTCGCTAAGTCGCATCGCCCAGTACCTGAAGAACCTGGAAGTGCTCGAGATGGGCGGCTGCTGTAACGTCACCAACACCGGCCTCGTGCTCATCGCCTGGGGCCTGAAGAAGCTGAAGAAACTCAACCTCCGATCGTGTTGGCACGTGAGCGATCAAGGTATTGGTCATTTGGCCGGTATCAATCAGGATTCGGCAGGCGGCAACCAGTCGCTCGAACACCTAGGTCTTCAAGATTGCCAAAGACTTTCCGATGAGGCGTTGAAACACGTCTCCACCGGCCTGACCTCCCTCAAGTCCATAAACCTCAGCTTCTGCGTCAGCATCACCGACAGCGGTTTGAAGCACTTGGCGAAGATGGTTTCGCTGCGAGAACTGAACCTACGCTCCTGCGACAACATCTCCGACATCGGTATGGCTTACCTCGCGGAGGGCGGCTCCAGGATCTCTTCGTTGGATGTGTCGTTCTGTGATAAAATTGGGGACCAAGCGCTCGTGCACATCTCGCAGGGTCTCTTCAACCTGAAAAGTTTGTCGCTGAGTGCGTGCCAGATCACCGACGACGGCCTCGCCCGCATCGCCAAAACCCTGCACGACCTGGAGACCCTCAACATCGGACAGTGCGCCAGGATATCCGACAAGGGACTTCAGACCATCGCCGAATCTCTGACCAGGCTCAAGTGCATAGACCTTTACGGCTGCACGAGAATAACCACCGTCGGCCTCGAAAGGATTATGAAATTACCGCAGCTTAGTATTCTTAATTTAGGACTCTGGCATGTTAGGTGAAACTCGAAGCCCTAGTAGGTAGGAGAGCGTTAAGTAATATGCCTTATCTCCATAACGCATTTTTGTGGTCGCCGATGACCCTTTTTTACATTCATTCATTCCCATCTCCAAAATATTTTTAATTCAATTATATATATATATAAATGTGTGTGTGTATAGATCATAATACAAGACACTATATAAATTCTATAATTATCTGCTGATCGTGTTGATGTTGCTACTCAAAACATAAAAACAAATTCAATCTCATATATATATATAAATAAATATGTGTATGTAATATAATTAATGTAATAATATTCACACGTTCGGAGCTAAGGGAAATTCGGTTGACCCAAAAATGCGTGGGATAAGCGCAATGAGCTGTGATAGTAATAAACGAATGACGTAACCGTTCGACTAAACTAACTTATAAATAAATAAAAAAATATTATATATATATACATGCATGCATACTATATATGTATATCATATATATATACATAGATCCAAAACAAGAATGTATGTAAACTCTAGTAAAGTATAAGGACTGATCGATCATCTCTACCGAAGAAACAAAAATCCGCCTACAATTTCTTTTTTTATCCTTTTTTTTGGCCTTTCGAAATCCACCGAAAACTCTGCTGCAACATTTCATTTGTTTTATTTTCTTTTATTATTTGCGGTTCAAATGCACATTACATTGTTTTTACACATTTACGAAAGCATCGAGCGAGAAACGAAGAAGTGTAGTGGTTGATGATGAAGTGAAGGAGGAGGAGGAGAAGAAGGAAGAAGGTCGCCGCTTCTGTAATTACCAAAGTTCCACGGCTGCATTTCAAAATCGGCCTCTTTTTTTTCGTTCACTGTGTTCCCTTCTTTTCTTTCGTTAATTCCTTTCTGAAAAGGAGGGTCGCCCTTCCCAGAATCCACGTTATTTTTCTCTTTTCATTCTTTCTACTTATTTTCTTTTTGTTGTTGTTGTGTTGTTCCGTCTGAATGCCACCGGCCGAGTTTTACTACCTGCTCTTTCAAAAATCGGCACACGTGTTCTTCCCTCCTCCGGCGGCGACTGGTTTTCCAGCATCCCTCTTCATCCTCTTCAGCCATCTCCGAGAAACGACCGAAACACACGGATGGGAAAAATCGTCCCTTCTAAACTCTCGCCCCTTGTTGTCTCTATAATCTCTCTTTTTTTTTGTGTTAACGGCGCCATGCAATATTCTCTTGTTTCAACTGTGTTAACTATTTAAAAGAAAAAAAAATCAACAATGTTGAATATTGTTATTTACTTACAAATTGTTTCGTTTCTATTAATTTCTTGTTGTAATTTCTGTTTATATATTTTTTCCTCCCCGTTTATCCTCAGAAGAATTATGGATGGATAAAGGCCATTTATATTATTTATATACACCACCATTAATTTTCTCTTTATTACTTTGTTTTTTTTTTATATCTATAATAGCAATTTTTTCCATTGTTCTTTCTATTTTTTTTTTGATATGATATTTTTGTCTCCTTGGATATTTCCCCTTTAGTTGATAAGACTTATGTAAAATAAAGATGTTGTACAGAATTACATCATGTGTAAATACAATTGCAGTTACATATTTGTTAAAATTACGTTATGTTTTATAAATTGAACGAAATTTAAGACTTAATAAAATTTTTATCAATTACAATCAACATCATCTTTCATTCGAAAACAAAAACCCAACCTTCACCTTTTTTTTTCTATTCCAATATACATTCTTTACGAAATTTCAAATTATCAAACTTTTCTAGTAAATCTTAATATATTACTTTATTGATTTTATTAGGTAGTGAATAATTTTTAGTGAAAAAAAAAAAATAAATTTTGCAAAAAAAAAAATTTAATAGATTGATTGAAAAAATACTTGATAATTAATTTAAAGCAATTTAAAATATTGTAAATTACAATTAATTAAAATTTTCTCAAAATATTTTTTTTTGTTCACAATCTGTTCATCAATGTGAACATTGAGTAAATTTAAGATCGCGGTTGACATTCAATGAAAAATCTTTCCCGGTGGATAGTTACCATTATGATGTTTAGATTTTTTAATTTGTTGGTTGGCTGTCGTCTTGTAGGTTAACTTCAGTAGTATATTGATGCTCTGAGATTCCACTATTTCCTTTGACTGTGAATCTGCTGCTATTCTTAACACTGTCATTGTCCATCGACTTCACTGAAGGGTGAAGGTCCATATGTTGAACCTCATTCATTTGACTTGCTGCAAGCACCAAGAGGGCTCACAAAGGGCTTGGCTTGACCAGGATTTGAACCTGCGCCAACTAGATCGTGGGTAGGGCGACTAATAGCCCTTCAAAATAATTAAAAAATATTTTAAATAAAAAACGAAGCAAATTGGATAATTCTAAAATTAAGAACTGTATAGTCTATAATAATGAATTTAACCTCGTTAAGTTTATTCTCGTTTCATAAATATGTTTTATTCATTATTGTAAAAGTTAGAACAATTTTTGTTTGACTTTGAAAACAAAATGATGGTTTTCCTGAAAACTGCTTCGATGTGCGCAATTTTAATGAGCTCGTATGAACAGTTACATTGTATAAATATTGATGTGCGTTAAATTTAAAAACCTAATTGAAATGAATAACGCATTCGCGATTGTTGTTAAACATTTGAAAGTAGATTACTCCGATTCAGCATAAACTATACAAAGACTAATAATTATGAGCGTTTCATAATAACATCTGTATCAATGTCAATTACTTATATATATCAGAGTTTAGTTAAAATCATTATTTTAGTATTTAGAAATAGCCACAGTTTACATTAATAAAATCGTGTAAATAATCCGTTTTGATATTTACTATTTACAAAATTACATCAATTATAGAGCAATTTGACTGTTTCCATGTTTACGTAATGAAAGGGACGATTTTCAAATAATTACTATCTAGTAAACTAGTACTGCTTATTTAATATTTTACTAATTACGCAAAATACTGGTGTGCTTTGGATGGAGGCGAGTTTATTGTTGTAAATTGTAAAAATAAAAAACGCATTGAAGCATTAAAGTTTCCTATAAATGCAAATGATGTTATTCTATACTTATGCTATGTATAATTTGCAATTACCAATTGATAATTTGAATATGCATGTGCAAATTTTAGTTGATTAATTTATGAAGTAATTAAATAATATTAAAATGAAATGTTAGTCATAGCATATAAACTAAACGTGCGGGCTCACTAGATTTTTTTTTGTAAAAATAGACAATATCTTACAAAAATGGCTCTTTGCTTCATAAAGGTTGCCGAACTCATGTTTATATTATAAACTGTGTCATCTGCAACGCGAATTGATAACAACAACATAATTACAAAGAAGGCTTCTATGGGAAACAAAAGAAGTAAGGTTATCTCGAAATCAATGGCCGAAGAAGAAACAATGAAATGAAAAGAACAAAAAATGAGAAATTCGTTTTTGAATTCAAACGTAAAAAAAACTGAAGTAAAAAAAAAAATAATAATTTCGTACAAAATATAAAACAATCAGAAAAGTTTTGATTGAAAATACGAATAAAATTTTGTAATTATGCTTCAAATTATTATAATAATTTGATTTATTAAATATGTGCAGATTTATGAAGGAATAAAAACATGAAGACAAAAAAGGCTTATGTGGAAAACAAAGCAACAACAAAAACAATTGTACACAAAAAAAAAACAAAACATGTAAAGTTATCTTGAAACCAATGACCATAGAAGATACAATGGAATGAAAAGAAGTAAAAAATTTGAAATTCGTTGTTGAATTCAAACATAATTCAAATATAATTCAAATTTAAAAAAATAATGAATAATTTCATAAAAAAAAAGCTGAAGAAATCAGAAAAGTTATGATTGAAGATACGAATAAATTTTGTAATTATGCTTTAAAATATTATAATAATTCGATTTATTAAATATGTGCAGTTTTTAGGAAGAAATAAGAACATGAAGACAAAGAAGGCTTCTATGGAAAACAAAGCAACAACAATAACAATTGTACACAAAAAAAAACAAAACAAGTTAAGTTATCTCGAAACCAATGACCATAGAAGATATAATGGAATGAAAAGAAGTAAAAAATTGAAATTCGTTGTTGAATTCAAACATAATTCAAATTTAAAAAATAATGAATAATTTTATAAAAAAAAAGCTGAAGAAATCAGATAAGTTATGCAGATACGAATAAATTTTGTAATTTATATTGAAAAATAAAAACATTTTTACAAAGAAGGTTTCTGTAGAAAACAAAAACAATTGCACGCAAAAAATAATTTTTGTTGTTTGAAACGTTTTTTATATTTAAAAAACTGAAACAATCAGAAAAGATTTTTTTAAATTTTTACATTTTATATTAAAAAATAAGAACATTATGACAAAGAAGGTTTAAGTAAAAAACAAAACAACAACAAAAGAAGTAAGGTTATCTAAAATTAATAATTATAATAATTCGATTTATTAAATCTGTACAGTTTATATTAAAAAAATAATAATAAGCGGATTAATTTATCGAAATGAAAATTTTAAATTATAATCGTAATAATGATGATGATGCAAATGTTATTAAATAGAATCGAAGCGCGTTTCGATGCAAATCTGGGATATAAATAATAACATTATTATAATTTCTTATCCGATCGACCGCAAATCAATCACACTCGAATCCTCATACTATTTTATTTGATTCGATTTCCGATGAAATTAAATTTGAAAATCGGTCTTTCGAATTTGTTTAATGTAATTAAAAAAAAAATACACATTTTGATGGTTAAAAGGACTTAAGTTTTTCTTCTTTTTTATGAAATTTATAGTAGAATCTTTGAGGTATTTGTTTCAGTTTGATAAAATTATAGATCAAGCATTCAATCAATATCCTTCACACATGTTGCATAACTATATTAGGTCACAAACTTATGAGTAATAAATATTTTATTTGACAATTATTTTATTAATACTTTATTCGTTTAAGATTGGAATTAAAACTGATAAATTAAAATCACAAAGCCTACGTTAGTTAGAAAATAGCATATGAGAAGGAATAATAAGAATTTGCTGCAACAAGTCCTCATTTTATTGCACACAATCTAGGTTTTACGAC